GGGGGGGGGGGGGGGAGGCAGGGCTGTCTTTACCCAGACACAGAATATGCAGTTGAGACACACTGGTTCTTAATGTCCATCCACCTGCCTCTTCCTATGTCTGTTCTGTGGCTGCTGCAGCCTGGTGAGTCCAACACTGGAGAGGATCTCATTAACTTAATAGTGAAAAAGCCTGCCAGACCTATTTGCAGAACACTGAACCTATGAAAGAACCATTCAAGTGGTACTGAACCCATTTAACAGACATGTGCCAACCAATGTTCCTTCTAATCTTTATGTCCATGTGTGGAATGACTGTTGTTACATCTCCTCTATACTGGTACACATATAACATCACAAAAGTCATTCTGCACATAGACAGTGTGGTGGGGGCCAAAGGGTTGGATGAGGGCTCTAAATTGGGGCTTGGCTCTATATGGGAACTCTGGGCTGAGTTGGGGTGCAGGAAGGGGCAAGGGCTTTGGCGTGGGGCTGGGATGAGGAGTTTGGGATACAGGAAGGGGCTCCAGGCTGGAGGGGCTGAAGGATTCAAATACAGGAGGAGGCTGCAGGTTGAGACTGAGTGTTAGGATATGAGAGGGGGTACAGGCGGCTACACAGCTTAGAGCAGGGCTACTCAACATGTGGCCCACGGGTGGGAGCTAAAACAAAAAAGTAGCCAATATAATGGTCTTCTGTTGATAGGTGATTTAGTAGTTAATTTCCTAGACTGTCATTGCTCAATAAAAGTGCTGACATATGGGAGGAAATCAGGTAGATATTGCATTTTATTAATACCCGTGGAACTGATTTAAGTGGGGCCTGTGTGTTGTGTAGTCTTGCCCTAATTTTGGTAATCATGCCCGTCAATGTGAAAGAAGCTATTTGCATATATATGTATGTTATGCAACCATACTTAAGTTGCAGTCCTCAGCATGTGCTGTGAGTATCATTTTGGCCCTGAGAGGCTTCCAAAGTTGAGAAACCCTGGCTTAGAGGGAACTTAGTTGCCAATCCCAGGTATATATTGTCAATTTCTGAATTTACAGCGTTAGTCATGGGATCTTAGTTTAAAATTTGCTTTAATAATATGTCATTAATGTGTTGCTGACAATTATAAAATCCTCTCCCCTTCCCCAGGCTGCCAGGGGGGATGAATTGTCAGGCATGGAGCAAAAGTGAACCAGACTGGGTCCCCACACCCGGCATGTCCCTCACTGTCGCCTGGGGGCTGGCAGGACAAGGAGCAGCTTTGGGCCAGCCTCTCCGCCGGAAGTAGGTCCTTTAGGACTATCGAGGCGCCCTCTGCAGCCCCGGGAGCAAAAGGGCTGGTGGTGGCGGACAGGGGAGAGGCGGAGCCTGCTTCCTGGAGCAGAGGAATTGGACTGAAGATCCAGGCTGGGGCTGCGTGAGCCCAGGCTGGCGCGCTGCTGCAAGCGAGCGCACGAGAAGGGGGTGGGAGGTGGGATCTCCCCGAAAGCCCCGGGCAGTGGGATCGGGAAATACTTTGGGAAGCGGCATGTGCGAGGCTGGGCGCAGGCACCTGGGGCCTTGGCGCTGGCACCGCGGGGAGTCGCCCAAAGCGCCGATCGCTCCGCGCAGCTGGGCAAACTGTGAAGTTGCTGGGGGCTAGCGCACGGGCGGTGTGCGGATTGCAACAGTGCACGCGGCTCCCGGGTGGTGTGACTCTACCGCGCTACGGCGTTTCTGGTGTGTTTGCCCGGGCAAAGCCCAGCCTGGCATCCCACACGCGGGTACATCCTCCACGAACTCCGCAGCGCTGGATGTGAACCTGCAGGGGGGCGGAGGGGACTCCTGACTTTTATCCCGACTTTGTAAATGTCAGAAAGACACAAACCAGGGGGGAGGGGAGACACAACTATCGACCCAAACCCCAGAGAGACGATGCCAACCAATGAAGGGAGTTGACAGATGCTTTTTAAAGTGACCTTTAGCTTTTGAAACCGCTTCAGTCCCGTTATAATAAGTATCTCACAGGAGAAAAACAGTTAACAAAATCTCCCCCTCCCCTGGACTATTATTTATTATTCTCAGTGGCTGTTGTGTTACACCGCGAGCGATGCAGACTCAGAATAGTGTACCCCTAGTCCCGTTTTAAGGAGGTGCTGTGTTTTATTTATCACGGAGTATAACTTCATCAGGAGGTTGTCCCTGGAACTGTTTCTGTTGCATCATGCTACTTGTAAGTACATCTAAATCTAGCTGCCTGGCATAACAATTTGTTTTTAATATCGTGACAAAGCACCTGTAATTTAAAAAGAAAATCTTAAATACTGTAGTGACAAACGCTCTTGATAAATGATTGTTTGGGGGAGAAAACTGTTTGGTTTGGCTAAACACCTACATTCCTTGAATATATCATTGCAGCTCTTGTTTTTGTATTTGTTGAGAAATCGCAACAGACAGAACCAGAAAGCCGCTCAAGAAAACTTGAAATAACATCCTAGTAAATATCGCAGTTTGTTATTTTAATCGGGATCCAAGGAAACATCTGAATTTTACCAAGGAAACCCCCAGTATGAGGGAAAACATTAGCACTCACGCAGACTTAAGTTTTGTTTTGTTTTATTTGTGTCTTTCAAGAAACCATTATAATGGAAGATAAACTATCTCCACTTTAAACAGACGCAGCTTCTACTTTCCACTGGGGGCTAGTTTCAAGTCTAGCGCTAAAAGAAAACGCCAAGATGCTTCTTTAATTATTCTCTTCTGTTGTTTAACGTTACCTCTAAAAACTATAAAATCTCAAATATAGGGGAGAAATGGAGACAAGCGAATTACACAATGCAGCAGTCTAACAAGCCTCTCCTCATTTTGTATACTGTATAGACCACTGCATTCCTCTACTTTTCAATTTGCAAACATATTATTGTCAAGAGTTTCTGCTACTTTATATTGCATGTTTCATGGTCGGATTTAAAACTATAATATTTCTACTCTTCTAAACACTCAACCTACGTGCTGTTATTATAACATTTCTATCCAGAGTTATATTGTCTCATTTTTATAAATAGTCATTTAAAAATCAGAATTAAAATAGAAAAGATAATATAAGACCCATTTTAAAAGCTGATTAAAATCAATGACTCCACGATTTAGCAATCAAATAAATACTATTTTCCTCCCAACCCTTGATTAATGCGTGCCCACCTTTGGGGAAACATGGTTTTTGCCAAATTCATTGCCCAGTCCTCTTTCCTGAATTTTCGGGATCTAGCTACTTACAAGGATTAATGCCAACCGTGAAAAGCATGCCTACCTGCAAACAAAGCATTCGCATTCGTGCAAAGACCGGGGCATAACGGAGCCGCGTAATTTCCGACGGATTCCAAAGGAGGGAAAAGGGGGAGGAATTTTAAAAGAAAAATAAATGATGAAATGTTTGGGTCTCCCTTTCGGCTTTTGCCGGCGGACCGTGGAGCAGCAGGGTGGGGGGGAGGCGAGTTGGAAGGTGCGGGGGGTGCTAGCCCCCGGGAGCTCGGCAGGGGGCGCTGTGCAGGGGCTACGGCTCCCACTCGCTGATTAACACAATGTTAAAAAGCAAAGGGGGAAATTTTAAAAGAAAAATAAATGATGAAATGTTTGGGTCTCCCTTTCGGCTTTTGCCGGCGGACCGTGGAGCAGCAGGGTGGGGGGGAGGCGAGTTGGAAGGTGCGGGGGGTGCTAGCCCCCGGGAGCTCGGCAGGGGGCGCTGTGCAGGGGCTACGGCTCCCACTCGCTGATTAACACAATGTTAAAAAGCAAAGGGGGAATTTGCAAAGCCCTCAAAGCCCCTGCACAGCGCTCTCCTCGCCGAGCGGAGCCCACTGACAGCATGGATCGCAGGGCGGCGACGG